TGTATCTTAGTTATTTATTTTTATTTTTTGGCTGTGCCACACAGTATATGGGATCTTAGTTCCCTGACCAGGAATCAAACCCTTGCCCCCTACACTGGAAGCACAGAATCTTAACCACTAGACCACCAGGGAATTCCAATTAACTGTATCTTAATGTGATGTCTACTTTGTTTAAAAAAAAAAAATCTTCTTAATTGTATATTGATATTAAATTACATTTTCCAGTATCTCTCAGAAATAAACTGTTAGCTGAAAATAAAATTCATTTTTAACACTAGTTATTTGTAAAAATATGTTTGTTGTGTTTTCAAGCACCCTTTGCAGGTTTTGTGGGACATGTCATGTAGGGTATGTGTAGTAATTTGAAGGGTTAAAATACCCTGCACTGTCACATATGGCAGTGAGCAGAATCGCAGATGTTGATGATACCACGTAATTAGTATTCTTTTATGTAAATGAAGGCTGTCAGCATGTTACCATAGTGTCTACTCTCTCTGAAGCTGGAATTTATGCCACTTGGTCTCACCAAGACCAGGCAGGATTTTTCCACTATCCATAGTTAAGAACTGAGAAGAAATCAAAACGACGAGAGAGAAGAAATGGAAATCTCTTTAAAGTGGATTCTTTTAAATTTTTCCTATTTTATTTTTGTTGATTTTCTCCCAGAAATTTTAAGATGCTGTTATCCATTTCAGATTGGCTAAGAAATCTGCTAATTGAGAACAGGAATGTTCCAATTAAAAAAATCGTATTTTCAAGCTATAGATTTTTGAAAGATTTTGTAATGTTCAGTCATCTCTTGTAACGTTCAGTCATCTCTCTCAAACGGGGACCTTTTAAAATAATCTAGAAGTTTCTCATCAGAACAAAAGGCTCACACTGAATAGATTTCATTAGCTTCTTTCACTATTTGGTGACATTAACTATAGTAGAATCCTTTAAATATGAATTATGGTTTTTAGCTCAAGCTGATTCAGATTTTTAAATATAAAGCTATAGTACTTGAAGAAGCAAAAGCCAGTATTTTGTCAGGTTTGCTTTCCCTGTATGCAGATCAATCCAAGGTGTCCTGGACATTTATTTACAGTTACTGATCTACTTAATGATGGAGAACTATTAAGGCACATCTTGTTAATTCCCAGTTACACTGGGAAACTGGGTGCCTGCACACTGGATGATATATTTTTTAATTGGAAATGTCATGACCTTCAGTGATTATGAAGGAAAAGGGGTACATGTCAGAAAAATGTAAAAGAGATTTCCTCTTTGTGCCTATGAGCATGAGGCCTTGTTCCTAAAGTGGTCGGAGGTTGTATGAGGGGTGAGTGAAGCACATGGTCTTCCTTTTGGTGTTTTTTTTTGTTTTGTTTTTTGTATGCTGCAGACATTTTAATGATTATTGTTGAGCATACATTTTGAAAATTTTTTTTACTTTAAACTGCAACAAATTAAATAAATGTTTATAATATACAAAGAAAATACAACCAAAATTTTCTGAACTGAGTATACCCAAGATTGTGTTCTCTTTATTCTCTATTGTGTATTGCCTTTTGTGTCACTTTTGAGTGATTTCCATTTCATGCCTCAGATATGTCTTTCCTCTAGAGAAGCTAGTCTGCTTAGGTTAAATCAGTGTAGTGAAGTACGGAGTAGCCTCGTGTCTTCCTGAATGGATTTACTCTGCCATATGGCAGGTTAGTGAATCGCCACGACAGATTTGTAACAGGAAAAAGGCTGTGCAGGAAAGGATGTGCGTGCTCAGCAGATTTATGGATCAGAAAATGAAATCGGAAGAAAGAATTTCCAGAGTGCCCTTTCCATTTGACAGCATTCCATTCAGAGGGTGTGGAATGGTTTTTCTATTTTGTTTTTTTTTTTCTGTTGTTGTTGTTCCAACATGTTTTGTTTTGTTTTTTGTCTTTCTAGACAGAAGCTGATTTTATAAGGTACCAGTGTTATGGGTGTTGTGTTGCTGTATTCCTGTTCACAGATATACTTTCTTTTTATAGAATTTGAAGCTGTGCTGTGTTTCATGTGATAAGATCTCAGTAGCAATTAAATTTCTAAAGACACATCAAGGTTCCTCTTGGCTAAAGTGGGGATTTGCCAGGTTTTGAGTTATAAGAAGAGGCCATTCAAAAAAAAAAGAAGAGTTATTCAGACATGATTTAGTGAGTACAGAATCTTCTGGAGGGAGAAAACAAAAAGAAAAGCCAAGTGAGCTAAAGATAGTATGTCCTGGTGTATTTAAAGTTTTGCTATCTAATACATGTGGCTGTTTAAATTAAAATTAATTAAAAGTAAGCCCCTCTGTCTCACTGGCCACATTTCAGGTGCTGAGGAGACACATGTGACAGTAGTGCAGTATTGGGCAATGCAGATAAAGAATGTTTCCATCATCGCAGAAAGTTCTATTGGACGTTTGTCTAAGTGAAAGATCTTGGGAAATAAAATTCTTTCTTTGATTTCTATGAGGTGTTCTTCATCGCCAGATAATTGCCTGGATTACATTCTAAGGTTTTAATGTAAAAATGAATCACCTGTAGAGCTTGTGAAAAATGGAGATTTTAGATCCCTCCCCCAAGCCATCAAGTTTGGGGTCATCACCAGAAATCTGTACATATGACAAGTATCCTAAGGAATTTTGTTGCTGGTAGGTGGTTCAGCAACTACGTTTTGAAAAATACCAAGTTAATGACAAACTTGGGGGTTACCAATCTTTTGACTTCCCCTTTTCATTCTTTTTCTTTTGTGTCCCAGTAATTGGTTGTAAGCATCATGTGTATTCAACTTAAACTCTTGATTGGTAATAAGTAGCAAAAGAAAATTCATTTTTATTGACCATCTTATCTTTATAATATCTTTTTTAATTTGACTATGCCCTACAAAAAGTAAACAAATGGTTATTTCAGTACTGTTCTGGGCTATGTGGAGAAGTAATTCTGACAGAATACCTTTGACTACTAAAGAGGTGAGCACACCACAGGTCTTGAAATTATAAAGGTTAAAGAAGAAAAGAAATATAACATTTGATCTCCTTTCTGAAGGAGGTTATATCTAGTTATAGGAGAAATACATCCACAGACACGACTTAAAGGGCACTTAGCAACAAGTCAATAGTTAGAAAAATAATATAGCAGAAACTAAATCCTGACAGTACTCAAAGGATGATCTGATTTGATGGAAGATAATCTCAGTTTCCTTTGTATGATGATTTAAGGATTTCTTACATAGGAATGGGCTGGAATGGGCAATTTAAAAATGAGAAAGGTCTCTGGTTGGTCCTGTGCTCTATTTGTGAGTTTCAGCCATAGGGCCAAGTCAGAAAGGAAAACCAACTGAAGGAACTACTTAGAATGCTTTGGATTTAGAACTTCTCTTGGGTGACCCCATCGTGATAGAACTGTATTTGCTCCCAGAAATGAGAGTGGACAAGAAATGAGGTGAAGGAAGTCTACTTTATAAGAGGAACTCCCTTCAGGGAATTTTAAATGCTGGTATTGCAGGGAGGTCAGCTTTCCAAAGAATAAAAGGTTTTCTTTGAAAATAGCCTCTTTCCCTTGAAGAAATTGCTTATTAGGCTTCTCTGATGATCAATACTGAAGAAGCAATGTTAGAAAGACCAAAAAAAAAAAAAAATGCTTAGTGAGTTACCACTGTTTTAAAAATAAAAAGCATTTTTGCATACATTATCTGGAAAGTTTGCTCTTTTTTTTTTTTTTTTTTTTTGGTCTCATAGTTTGGTTAAATACTGTAATAACCAGTAGCCACTATACCACTAAGTCAGATTTGTCTAGTTTTATAGTTACTTATTCTTTCAGTAAGGAAGGTAAATGTTTTCCCATCCTTTTTACAAGATGTAAATGTTCTTAACAAACACACTTTGGGTTAGTCTCTCAGAGTTACTGTAACAAAAATGCCATAGACTGGGTGGCTTATACATAACAGTTCTGAAGGCTGGGAAGGCTACGATCATGGCACCAGATTCCATATCTGGTAAAGACTAATTGGTTCACAGACATATGGCTGGCTTTTCACTTGTGTTATCACATGGAGGAAGGGGTGAGGGAGCTCTTTTTAGAAGCACTAATCCCATTCTTGAAGGCTCATCCCATGAGGGTCAACCCACTCATGACTTAAGCATCTTCCAAAGGCATCACCTCCTAATACCATCACCTGGGGTAAGGGGGTTTAAGATTTTAGGATATGAAATGAGGTGCAAACTTATAGACCACAGAAGACAAATACAATGTTAGATTGAGGCTCAGTCTACCTACTTAGCCAGGATCTTTGGACACAAGAAAATAAAATTACTTTATACTGCAAAGGACTTTCTCTTTCTTACCATTTCTCTTGTTCTCTTTAACCATATTTTGTTATCTTTACTTTGAAATACAGTGAAATTGACCTAAGATTGCCTTTTTATTTGAGTGTCTTCATCTCTTGGGGTTGTGATGAGGTCCCAGCGTCATCATCTGGCATCACTGGTTTGTGAGCTGTCTCTCCTCGCCTTTCCTCTGCCCTGTCCCTTTTTGCATACAGCGAGGACCTTGTCACCATGAGTCAGAGAGACTTTCACTTCCAGGACATCATCAATTCAAAGATGGCTCAGAATATGGGCTGCTTTCCCCTAGTGGGCAGTTGGGTGCAACGTGAAATGAGGGTAATGACATTTCTAAATCAGCCTTACGTAGCTGATACTCAAGAGCTAAAACAGCCTTAGAAAATGTAAAATTACACATTAGTGGTAAGGTCTGTCATTTAGTGTTTTATGATTCTTCCTTTTTTTAAGGAATTTAACTGTCTGTAATTCCCGGGCTATGCCAAAATTGCCCTTTCCTTTTATAAATCTTCCTTCCAAAGGAACCAATTTTGAATGGAAAACTAATGAATATTGAGTGGAAAATGCCGGTTGCAAGCCTTTTTCTAGAAAAATATTTTGCTGAAAGTTTCTCTCTCTCTCTCTCTCTCTCTGGGGGCCCTTATCGTGCCAGGTTGAAAGAGTGGAGCCTTCCCTAAGACATGGATAGATGCAAACATGTAGGGCGGTTGCGGCTCGCCCAGGACCACTCCATCCTGAACCCGCAGAAGTGGTACTGCCGGGAGTGCGCCACCACCGAGTCAGTGTGGGCTTGTCTCAAGTGCTCGCACGTGGCCTGCGGCCGCTACATCGAAGATCACGCCCTCAAACACTTCGAAGAGACTGGACACCCGCTAGCCATGGAGGTCCGGGATCTCTACGTGTTCTGCTACCTGTGCAAGGACTACGTGCTCAACGACAACCCTGAGGGGGACCTGAAGCTGCTGAGAAGCTCCCTCCTGGCGGTCAGGGGCCAGACGCAGGACCCGCCGCTGAGGCGCGGGCGGACGCTGCGGTCCATGGCGGCGGGCGAGGACGCCGTCCCGCCGCAGCGCGCTCCTCAGGGACAGCCGCAGATGCTCACGGCTCTGTGGTACCGGCGCCAGCGCCTGCTGGCCAGGACGCTGCGGCTCTGGTTCGAGAAGACCTCGCGGGGCCAGGCCAAGATGGAGCAGCGGCGGCGGGAAGAGGCGCTGGAGCGCAAGAAGGAGGCGGCGCGGCAGCGGCGGCGCGAGGTGAAGCGACGGCTGCTGGAGGAGCTGGCCAGCGCCCCTTGGCGCCTGGCGTCACGGGCCTGCGCAACCTGGGCAACACCTGCTACATGAACTCCATCCTGCAGGTGCTCAGCCACCTGCGCAAGTTCCGCGAGTGCTTTCTGAACCTCGACCCGTCCAAGACGGAGCAGCTGTTCCCCAGGGCCGCCAACGGCAAGGCCCCGCTCTCAGGCAGGCCGGCCAGCACCTCAGCCCCCGAGCTGTCGTCGCCCCGGAGCGACAGGGCCGAGGCCTGCGAGCGCGAGGGCCTCTGCTTGAACGGTGGGACCTCCCTCAGCAGGAGCCTAGAACTCATTCAGAACAAGGAGCCCAGCTCGAAGCACATCTCCCTCTGCCACGAACTGCACACCCTCTTTCGCGTCATGTGGTCGGGGAAGTGGGCCCTGGTGTCGCCCTTCGCCATGCTTCACTCGGTGTGGAGCCTGATCCCCGCCTTCCGAGGCTACGACCAGCAGGACGCGCAGGAGTTTCTCTGCGAGCTTTTGCACAAAGTGCAGCAGGAACTTGAGTCTGAGGGCGCGACGCGCCGGATCCTCATCCCCTTCTCCCAGAGGAAGCTCACCAAGCAGGTCTTAAAGGTGGTGAACACCATATTTCACGGACAGCTACTTAGCCAGGTAGGTGTGTGCTCGGCGCAGCCTTGACTGCCCACCACGCTGGAGCGGGGCTGGTATAGTATTAGGCTTCCCGTGAGTGCTTTCCCCAAGTTGTTGGCCCAACGAGGGTACGTTTGCTGTGACTATGCACAGTGGAGGGCGGCCGCGGTGCCTTTCACAGTACTGTGGGGGGGCTTCGTTGGTGTACTTGCCTCCTGTCTTTCCAGGCAGATTTTTAGTTTATCTTGCCAAATCACTTCACTTTCAGGAAATGTCTTTTAACCTATAATCATGATATGGTAATGTAATATTATCATTGTTACAATTAAGTACCCATTGCTGGCATCCCATCCCATTTGATCAGCTTTAGGAAATTGAAGAGTTCGCCTATAATCTTGGTTCCATGGTTGTTTGAAAGGGCATCATTTCTCCTAAAGCCTTTCTTCAACATACAAGGGAAGGAGGTGGCTAGGAAGATGCCAAAGGCCTAAGCAACCCTCCCTCCGGTTCCCCACTACCTTTCGTTTCCTTAGCCATGTAAGAATATGAGGGAAGACTCAGGTAAGGCTTTGTGAGAGCATGCAGAAAGAATTGATAGAGTTTAAAAAGTGGGCAACTTGACAGATTCAGGTAAAACCTCTACACTATGCTACTGAGGTAGTTAGGATTTTAAAAGAATGATGAGTAGAAAAGTTTATTTCGGAAGAATATTTCGGAAGAGTTTATTTCAGCATGTGAAAAGGGAGTTTTTTCAGCACTTCCTCAACCTCCCTGAGAGTCTGTAGGAAGAAAGGTGCATCTGGGAAGGTTATAGTGGGGGAGGAGGTCAAATCACAAGCTACTTAGGGATGCTGCTGGAAGCAAGGGCAAAAGTAGAGGAAAGCTGGATTGGATGGAAGGAGCAGAGTCTAGAGGAGGATAAGAGTATGAGGATGAGAGAAGCAGACAGGAATCTGCAAATTCTCCATCTCAGACTGCCTTGATGACTCCATGATAGCTTCTATCTGAAATACTGTGGCACTGAGGAAGAGAGAAGGGGGAGTAGGTAATACTATCTGTGCTGTGTGGTTTTCCAGTTCCAGCTAGCATCATAGAGATACATACCAGAAGTAATATGCCCTAATTCTCTTAAAAGTTACATTTATCATTTAAATGCTAAATATTTTTTGAAAACGATACACTAGCTTTGGTTGTTATGTGCTAGCAAACATGAATGTGGGAGCATGGAAGTTGCACAGCCCGTGACCTAACCTTCCGTCCTAGGTCACTTGCGTGTCGTGCGGTTACAAATCCAACACCGTCGAGCCTTTCTGGGATCTGTCGCTGGAGTTCCCTGAGCGCTATCACTGCGCAGAAAAGGGCTTTGTCCCTTTGAACCAGACGGAGTGCCTGCTCACCGAGATGCTGGCCAAGTTCACGGAGACGGAGGCCCTGGAAGGCAGAATCTACGCCTGTGACCAGTGTAACAGTGAGTGCCGGGGGAGGCTGTGGGTAACTAGAACATCAGTTTCAGGTATTTCATTTGCCCTTTTAGTCAAAAATAACACGGAAATATTGAGTGGTTCTAAAGCATCTTTTAAAGATTTTTTTCCTCCTATTTTCCTGAGAAGAAGCATATAGACATTATATATTAAAAGAATAAAACCAAGCCTAGGAGTTGGACCTCCTTGGACTCCTGCTGTGATTGAAGTTAGTTGTTATCTTGGGAGGCATTTGAAAGTATGGACCTTGAAATGGGGGCTCCAAGAATGGGAGTATTTAGCTTCGTAGGTTATGGGGGTCCTGCTTAAATTCATGACTAGAGTTTGACAGTTCTTATTTAGTCTAAATTCAGGTGGCATAGCCTGTTTGAGTGCTTTGTATTAGAAAAGTGTGCTTTTATCCTGAATTAAAGTCTGTCAGAAATGATGCTAAGGGTACAATGAGACCAAGAGAGGAAGTCATATGGTACATTGCTCCATGGCAGCTTCATCATTATTTTCACATGCCTGAAAGATTCACATCTCAGAAGGCGCAGAAGGAAGTATTTCTCTATCATGGCTTTAATTGTAAAGTGGAATTTTTTCTGTATGGTTCTGAGAGCACCTTATGCATCCCCCAACCCTGTGTCTTGCCACATTAACAATGCCTTTGCTAACCCAGCGTGTACACAGGAAATGCAGAGCAAATACTTTGAAACTGATGTTTGGGGGTTTTGGCATATAGAGATTTGGAAACTAAGACAAATGGATTGTGCAGAGATCTGAGAACAATGTGCAGCCATATTATAGTTCAGACTTCAAGTTTTGGTTTGGGAATAACAATTTTATGGTAGCCCTTTAATATTTTTGCATATGGTTTTTTAAAGTAGTGAATTGTGGAAAACCTGTTCTCTGAAGAATCAAGTCAAAAATCAAAAGTCACACCTGATACCATTTTGCCATTTTAAAACAAAATGTGAAATCCTGTACTTGGTTAAGCATAAACTCACCTATCCTGTTACATAGAGATATATAAAGGCAGTGATTTAAATAATCTTATTAGAACAATATGTATTTTTATTCTTTTTAAAATAGTGAATCATGAAGTTTTATACTTGTAGGGAACAGAAAGATGTTAACAGCCTTAAGTCTATCATTTTCAGACCTGATAGATTAGGCAAGAAACACTTTTATTTATTTTTCCAAGAAAGGATTGTTTTTCTGGTTGCCAGATGTGCCCATTTATCAGTATTTCTGTAGACAGGTTCAAATAGCAAGGAAGGAAAGCTATAGTGAAGGGATGAGATGCACTGATCTGTTGCTTGTGAAAGTTTCGAAACTATCAGTCTTTCACCTTTCTGTGTAGCCAGCTTAATCAAATGGGAGACAGAACTGATCAGTCTCAACTGAATCAGTGATTTTTCTTCATGAACTTCATTTTAGAGAAACAAAGCCAGATTCTATATTGTCTTCATTTTAGCTCGCATACTCCCTCTGCTGAGAGCAGCAGTCACTGCCAGGATTCCCAGGCAGAGAGATGCAGTAATTTTCAAAAATCTGCTGGTGAACAAGAATGTAAAATAAGGCCAGGCCCCTCTTTGAATTCTCTTTCTGCTCATGCCCTCACATATCATGACTGCCAGCCCTAGTAAAAGCTGCAATCTAGTTGCTGCAATCTGTCATGAGAAGCAACAGCTCCATTGTCAGAGAAAGCTCCTTGATACATCATCTGCCTGTGATTTGCTACTTTTCACAAGCGGTACAGACAGGTCTTCGAATCAGATGCCAGGCTCCTCAGACACTGAGACCATGGTATCAACAGCTCAGAGACAATTCGCAGACACCACAGTGGACCATGAATTTTATATTCCTATCCATTCACTGACTGAATTAATATAAAAGAGCAGTCATCAGTAAATGGTTATAGAGAAGGCTTCTGATGGAAATTAAGAGAACTTCATTTCCGTTTCCATGCTGTAATTTAGAAATGCATTTTACCCACAATTCAGTATCTTTAGAAACAAAATTGGAGTCCTGAGCATTGGTTTTGTTTTGAATGGGGTATATTTAGTCAATTGTCAGCCTTGTTCTGCATGTCTAGCAGTGCTGTTACCAAGAAACATGTTTCAGAAAATAAGTATGGCATAAAAATATAAACCAGTGAAGTTTATTTTCAAAATATTTGGATAAGCCACAAGCAAGTCATGTGGGGGAAAAAATCTCTTTAAATACACTGTCCTTTAGTAATTCTGTGCCTCTTGCATGCGTGCATGTTCAAACGCTAAGTCGTATCTGACTCTTTGTGACCCCATGGACTGTAGCCCACCAGGCTCCTCTGTCCATGGGATTTCCCAGGCAGAGTGGGTTGCCATTTCCTCTTCCAGGGTATCTTCCCAACCCAGGGATCGAACCTGCATCTCCTGCCTTGGCAGGCGGATTGTTTAGCACTGGGAAAGCCCCTGTGTCCTCTTACCTTTTCCCTAAACCTGAAATACATGCATTATCCCCCATTTCACAGGAAAGGAAACTGAGATTCCTTTCAAACGGTGGGAAGGACAAAGGATGCACCTTACAACTGCATCAGCCTTCTTTAAGCAGCCATCCCCAGGGTGCCACACAGTCATTTCTTTCATCTCAGCCAAAACTTCCATGGCCATACCTCGTTGGGCATGTGAGGCTGGGAAATGCAGTCTTAGAGAGAGGATCACATTGCTGCCCAAAAGAGGTTGAAGTGCTGAGAAACTAGGAGAATGCACATTGGGTGGCAAGTCACTGTCTCTGCACAGCTCGGGAAGAACGAGTCTCCTCACGATCCATGTCTTATACCTTCCCAAACCATCTAGGCAAACGACGAAAATCCAATCCAAAACCCCTTGTTCTGAGTGAAGCTAGAAAGCAGTTAATGATCTACAGACTACCTCAGGTCCTCCGGCTGCATCTTAAAAGATTCAGGTGAGCTTGCTCTGGGGCATCCCAGGTGGCTGTGAGCTGTGGCAATAGTTACTCCAGAGGCTTTGGTGAGGGCAGATGTCGTCTTTGGTGTTGGGTGGAGAAGCCTGCTCCCCGGAGTCCTTGGGCTTTCCATGGAGTGTATGGCTCCTGCCTGGGGAGGCAAGTGGATGCTGGGGGCCAGGACGGGGCTTCTGCTCTCACGGCCCTATTACATCAGCTAGGCTGCAGTGGGTGTCTGTGCTTGAAGATTTAATAGCCACACTTGGGCATATATAGAACCATCTTCAGAATAAAGTATGAGATAATCTGTGAAAAGAAGGGTAGGAAGTAAACTACAAAGAGTATTGCCTGGATTGCTTGTTTAGGGATTTCTAGTTTCAGAGAACATCTGAATGTTTACAGGAAATAAATGTGAACACTGAGTACCCCTACCTTGCTGTGAACACCAAATCCAGGTTAAGTTTTCTCCACTTCTATTTTACCTACCTCTGCCTATGATTGATCACACATGCCATTTCTTACTGGTAAGAAGTTTATATTCATGTTACAGGTGGTCTGGCCGTAATCACCGAGAGAAGATTGGGGTCCATGTCGTCTTTGACCAGGTATTAACCATGGAACCTTACTGCTGCAGGGACATGCTCTCCTCTCTTGACAAAGAGACCTTTGCCTATGATCTCTCCGCAGTGGTCATGCATCACGGGAAAGGGTTTGGCTCAGGACACTACACAGCCTATTGCTACAACACAGAGGGAGGTGCGTGCGCTTTACTCTGTGGGGTGGGGGACACCAAAAAGGGTTGGTTTGTCCACATTTCATTCCTCTCCTTTTATTTAATCTGTAGGGGGATATTACATACATTAAAATCCAGTGGAAAGAATTATGAAAGATGGATTCAAATTTTGAATATATCACTAAGTGACAACATTTAACTCTTCTAAGAATTGACGGGAACTAACATGTAAAAGTGCTGAGCATGCTGCCTAGCACATAATGGTCAATTAATGCTAGAGGTTATAGCTGTTATTAATACTTCTGCTGCAGACCTGTTTCCTTCTTGGTTTTGCATAAATAGTATGACCTAGCTACTCCGTGGTCATATTCATACTGTATGAGTCTCACTAGCATCAGCTCATAGTAAAGCTGAGGACACTTTCTGAGTATTTACAAGTATTGTAACGGACATAGTATATGTCCTGATTACCTTCTTTAACATGGGAGGTGTGAGGATCCAAGGGCCCCCTTCCCAAGGGGCTTTCTTTCAGTCCTTGTCTCTCAGAACAGAGCCTCCTAGCTACTGCACTAAGGCAGGTGGGTTGTGGATGTGTTTTTAATAGTTTACCCATTTTGAACCCCTCAGCCCTTGGGGTGGCTGCCAGAGTGAGCCTTTGAAAAATAACTTTATTCCTTCTAAGGTTTCCTTTCCTTCCATACCTATATCTATGTACATTTCCCCTCTCTTCCCCCTTCTTTTCGCATCTCTTAGCCCCCAGTCTATCTTTGTATAAGTCCCTAATGGGCAGTGAAAAAGCCTGAATGAAATGAGGACAAAAATTAGTCAATACTGTAAGCAATATTGTGATGGGGCTTGTGGGGCTAAAACCAATGGTTTCAGGGAAGTCTGTTGGTTTCATTTACTTATCTCTTCCTCCACCACCACCAATCAAAGGTTGGCTCTATTCAGAACTTCTCTGTCCCTTTTTTCATCTCCTCGTTTGCCTGCTGATTGAAATTTAAGTTGGGTAGTCATATTTTCTCTTTCTTTCATTTGGTTTCCTAGGTTTTTGGGTCCACTGCAATGACTCAAAGCTGAATGTATGCAGTGTCGAGGAAGTGTGCAAAACTCAAGCCTACATCCTTTTTTACACTCAGAGAACAGTTCAGGGCAATGCAAGAATCTCAGAAACCCAACTCCAAACTCAGGTGCATTCCAGCAACAACGATGAGGGCAGACCACGGACCTTCCCCTGAATGGGAGGCACATTATCAAGGACTGACTTGCTTTTAAACTCTTGGTATTGGTACATCTTTCCTCTTACAGGAAATAAGGTTTACTACAGGAACAGATTACTATGTTTGCCTCACTGGGTCTAGAGCAGAAGGTGCCGGGTGACTGGTGTCCTATCACAAAATCTGTAGTCACTTTCTTTTACATGGGTTTAGAAAATTCCCTCCTTTGTTAAAGCAAATCAAAGGAGTAACTTCTATGAAGACTCTTTCAACAGTTGCTTCTGAATATAGAGGGATCTGGGTGGAGGAAAGAGGGAGTGAGTTGGTCATATCCATCTGTTTTTTCTTCCTATTATGTGATTCCCCTGCTAATCAGGACCCCTTGCAGCACCGGAAGAGCCTCCTGACGTGAGCAGCCTTCAGCAGAGCACTGGAGGGCAAGGAGGGGCCCTGGGCTGGCAGCTTGCTGGACAGGATTGGTTCCAAGGCGGGAGGTGAAGTCAGGACTTTTTCCTACAGAAGTAGTCCTCAAAGGTTGAAAATTTAGCGACTTCCTTTTTTAGGAGATAGCAGCTGAAGAATGGAAGGAGGTGCATGGAGCAAAGTTCTCCATGCAAAATGGAGGTTTTTCACTTGTTGTATTCTGCCTGGCTGCTGCTGTCATTTAATCATTCCACATCTTCTGAGATGGCACGAACATCCCTTCATTCTAATGAAGGAGCAGTTCATATGGGGAAGCAAGAAACTGGCACATGACATGCTCTTTGTGGCACGCTTAGCCTAAGTGCACTCCTGGACACCCAGTTCTGTAGCAAACTCCTGGTTCAGGTCTAGGGCAAGCATGCAGTTTGGTTTAAATTGGTCTTTTTAGGTCAGGTTTCTGAGGCTTTCTCAGAACTCAGAGAGTGGGGGTGGGGGAGCCAGTGGTCCAGGGCTTATCGAAATGCCTGTTCCCCGTTCTCATCTTGGTACAACATGCAGCTTTTCTTAACCTGCAGCTTATTTCCTGTTCACAAGGTGTGGGAGCTTTTGCTTTTCAAAGGCTGAGGACTCTTCCTCCTGTATGTCTGAACAGTTTATTGCTGACACCCCTGGCCGGTTTTCCTCCAAAATCTGCTAATCCCTAATGTTTCTTTACCCACACACCCTCAGTCCATCAGAAAAAAAAAGCAAGTGCCCTGTCCTTCACTTCAGTGCTAGTAAGATATGTTTTTCTTTTTTAAACTGGGTCAGTTTCTAAGTGGTGTGAAATTGTCCAGATAGAAGCCCTCTGCCCTGTCGGGCACCACTGAATTTCCCTCCTCGGTCCTTCACTTTGACTCACTAGTAAAGTGAATGCGACCATAACTCTCACTGTGGGAGCGCCACAGCGCCTCAGCCTGTCACTCGGAATGCTCATCTTTTGACTGGGCATGTCATGTTAACGTTCGGGTAGAAGTGCAGCTGTCACCTGAAGGGAGTGGATGTGAAGGAAGTTTGGGGAGGGGTGGGAAGTTGGGGAGTGAGGGGCGTGGCGTTAGCAATGTTGCAGGACCACATCTCCCAAGCAGATCTGTATAGCATTTGCTGCTGACCTCTTTTGAGATGAACTCTCCCATAGGCCCTGCCAGACAGCACTCAGATTTGGAGGAAATCAGACAGAAAATGGCTCACCGTGATAAGGAAAGGGAGTGACTATACTTTAAATTAAACTTGCTTTTTCCAACACTGTGAGGTTTCTGTAATATTTAGCTTTTATTTGGAAGCGATAGCGTATGGCATTTTTTATGCTATTTGGTTTATATTGTCTACTGCAGGCTTCTTTGTACAAGCTTGGCCCGGGCTTACCCTCACCTGGACACTGTTTTAAAGTGTCACTGCCGCCCATGCTGCCAGAGGCTCTGATATGAGGCTGTAGTCTCTAGATCCACATTTTTAAGTTGGTATGATTGGTGATGACCTTTTGTGGCAAGAGAAAAGCGCACTGACTTTAAAAAAAAAAGAAAAAGGGAAGGAAAATATAAATTGTGCCTCATCTTTCACTGAATGCTATATTTATTATTCTAGAAAAAGAGAACTGACAAATGGAAAAATACAGCATCTACTAAATCCCTCAGGCTGTCTGGGGGTGGGGGGAATGAGAAAAATAAACATCTCATGGAAAATTAAAACATCTTCCAATTTAATTTTTAAAAAGTTTTATACCAAAAGTTAAGAATTAAGCAGACTAAGGACTTTGTATTAATAGGGTAAGTGCTTCAAATTAATAAAATCATTTGAAGTGAGTTGGAACAGAAACCAATACCAGAGTCCTCAAAGAGCTGCACACACTTGAAGGTGCCCTTGCAGTCAGACACCTCAGGTACCCAGAGGCAGCAGCAATAGACGCTGTTGAGAAGTTAGTATTTATGGAGATTTTTATTAAAGAAAAGAGTTTCCTGCTGCATAAGCCAATGGCTGTTGTGAGGGAAATGTCCCTTTGCCTTTAATTTATTTACATACTGGAAGTAGATGAATTTCTTAGTTGCATCTTACTTTAAGTCAAAACATTGTAAAGAAAATAAGAACCAGGTAGAAGTTGACTAGATGCTGCCAAATCAAATCCAAGATCTCCTAACTGAACCTTACGGGCCTGCTTCTCTCCCAGACAAGTAGTTACAGCCCTGTTCTAGGAACCCTGTGTAGTTGGCTGGTGTGTTTACTTTCTGCTGTAGCCAGCCAAGATGAATGCACCCTGGCCCTCAAATTTTTACCTCAATCTAGCTTGACCCTCATACTTGTGGTTGCCTCGGAGATAAGCATTCATGCTAGTGTTAAAAAAAAAAAAAATTAGGAATGCCCTCAATGGCTAGGAACTGAAGCTCTTATTCAAGATGGCAGACCTCTTGCCTGCTTTGATCCAGTCCCTCTCAGGCTGACGGGGACAGTGCCACACTGTAAAGAATTTCCAGATGTCTCTTAAAATATCATGAATAAAATTGGGAACTATAGAAGTGTTAATGTGTCCTATGGACTCAAATAGCAGAGTTTATTTTTGTTTTTAATGTCAAGGTTTCTAGAGTCAACGATTGTGCGTTTTCCACTCTGGCTATGATTACAGTTCCATCCAAGTGTAAGAACTAATGAGGTGGGTTGGCAGGCAGTGGGGCACAGCCCTAGCCAGGTCCCAGCATAAACGTGAGAGGTTGATATGGAGTTTGTTTTACGTACTGATAAAGCTTTGTGAACTAATTTTATACAATTCATAAAAGTTGGTGCCTTGTACCTAATTATGGTTTGCATGGGATTGAAAAGATTAAGGGAAAGGATTCTTTCTTGTCATTTCAAGTGGCAAATGGGTCTGTATAGTGTAAAGGACATTTGGTATCACTTTTTAAAAACATGTCGTATCTTGTGTGTGTGAAAGCAAATTATTACCAGCAAGTTCTGAAAATTCTACTGTAATGTCCAAAACCTTTGTGTTTAATTATTCATCAATGTCCCCTTTTCAAGGCAAACTATATACCCTATTCTTTTATACCACCCCTTTTATGTTCCGAACATTAACTCAGGCCTTTTTAAAATCAGGCTGGGAGGGCTTCCCCTTCCTAAACATATCCCTATCTGAGGTTTTATCTTTTAAGTGGAAGGGTTACTTTTCCAGCTGGTTGGGAGAGCACAAATGTTCAGAAAAAGGTATTTTAGTTTTTCTAATGCTAGGCAACATATGGTACAAGTCAAACAAAAACCATTCCTCCTGAAGTGGTACCTTCATTAGTTCTGAAGTTCTTTTGCACAAAGTTTCAGGAAGCAGTGTAAAACACAATCCCCTATATGTGAACCTTTAGATTTAAGGCAAGCCAGTGCACTGTGTAATATGCAAAAACGAAGGCTCAAAGAACCTGTCCCAGCAACCCAGTCCCACTGGGGACGGTACTGAGTAGCTGTGGAAGAGAAGACCCGGCCTACTCACCTGCAGGGCTGTAAACAGAGTGTTCCTTTTACTCCCACCTCAAGGTTTCCACTGAGCTCCTGAGTCTTCACCAAAGGGTGTTTAAAAAGCTTACTCAAAGCACATTTGATAATTGGGTCCCTCAGCCTAACGACTGGCCTAATTAGGTGAGGAGGCTGTATCTTTGGAATAAAACCTCCCATGGCCACTTAGTTTCCTTACCAGGTAAGTATGCATCTCCCTGGTGGTTGATTCTTTTTTGAAGTTAGCACTAAAGTTGAAAAGCGCCTTCTAAATATGACTGTGAGTTTAGTTTTTATCTTCCATGTTTAAATAACCATTTTCTTGGTCTAAGACTTTGACTTTAACCACTGTGTATTCAACCCAAACACCGCTCTAAGCACACCTCAGTCACTAGAGCACTGAAGTGAATGGTCATTTTTGTGGACTGTTTCCATACTACTGCTGGCATATTTCTATTTCAGATCTAACTAGATAGTGTAGGAGATTTTCAGAGTAGTGTTAACTAGCCTGGGCTAAACAGCTCATGACAGGATGTAAAACTGACTTCCCTTGAGGAAAAATGTGTTGAAATGGTGAAAGCCAGGATTTTCATTTACAGAATTCATAGATTATCCATCAAAATTTGGTGTAGATTTGGTACCTTTAACCTGCTAAATTCTTATCATTTTCAGGAATTAAGCCAGTTGAAATGAAACTTTACCTTATCAGCTTATGGCTTTATAAACCAATCGCAACACTGTTACTTGAAGCTAAAACATTACATTTTAAGTGAAACTTGAATTATGCTTTTGGAAGCTGCCATATCTTTAATTTTGGTCATGTTTTGAATTTTACCTTTGAAAATTGCTATCAAATAGAACTTTTCACAATTATGAGTAGCTCAGGTAGCGGACTTCAAGGATGTAAGTTTCACTCCTATAAAGAACAACAGGTGCTGGTATTTCTAGGCTTAGCAGTGGTCTGATGCAATTCTGACGGGGCTCAAAAGTTTCCTTCCTGGTCACCATTTGGGGGGCGATGGCTTCAAACCCAAGCCTTACTTAATGTATGTTACTTTTCCTCATCTTAACAGCCTAGTAAGATATAAACTTGCCAGAGCATCTGTGATCCCTATCTATATTCTTA